TTAAATTGAATATAGTTAGACTGGTTGACTGGATTAGAGCCTGTGTTTGTGTGTCCCTCTGTGCATTTGTGTTTCAATATGCCTCCATATTTGTGTGGTGTGTGTGTGATACCTGAGGAATGACTGGACGCAGCTCTGAAGGCCTCTCTTCCCAGGATGGTGTTTCCACTGGAGCTCTTTCCTTCTCCAGTCTTCCCGACCAGAACCAACCTGAGTGACACTGAACACAGACACACAGAGGTCAGATCGTATATGCGGGACATTCCAGGCTGATCTACAAAGGACGGTATTAGCTGATTTTTAAATATCACATGACCAAACTGTTTTTTGTTCTGACTGAGAGCTGACAGGAGGTGCTGTGAGGGAGCACAACTAGAGCTGTACGATATTCGTCTTGTAATCGGAAGGTTGAGGAGCAGCTTCAATATAACCAAGCCTGCAGAACCAGCTGAGACCAGCTCACACTCATGCTGAGCTTAAATCCTTCACCATCCACCTGCCAGCTTTTCTTTGGTCTTAAGTTATCATGTGTTAGTCAGAGGTCGTTCGTGTTTATGGTTCCTGTTTCTTCTGGAACATAAAATTGAAGAGACCACACCTGTTGGAGGCTCCTGTTTACTGCTTCTCCTCGTCCTCCCTCCTGCTGCTCCTGCGCGCGCGCGCACACACACACACACACACACACACACACACACACACACACACAGTAATCTTTTACATGAAAGTGAAAGTAACTGAAATTAAAAACTGCGTCACCCACGAAAAACCCGCTCAAACTGCGTTTTTCACCAAAAACTAACCACTAAACTACACACGCGCGCGCGCGCACACACGTACAGGTGTATATTAATGAAGTGTCCTCTTTGTTCGGACAGTTTGATGACTTTGAGAAGCGCAGACGGAGAACAATGATCGGATCGGCTTTAATTAAAATGATTTCCACACACACTCACCGGACTGTTCCTCCGAGGCCATCACACCTGCTCTCACAAATTCACCTGTTTATCAGTTATTTGTTCGAAACTTCGCTCAGTAAGAAGGTCCCACTGAGCCGCCCTTTTCCGGTCTCACCTTCAAAATAAAACGGTGGAGTCCGGACCGCGGGATGGTTCAGTTTCATTCTTGGGGAAAGATCCAGGCTTCATATTCTTGTCTGTTAGTGATGACTGAACCCAGGACAGCTGGAATAATTACCTGCTCAGGTACACTGTCGGACTAAGCAGCTTTACATCACCTAGGTTCAGATCAGTAACACAACCTTAAAAGAGGGCGGAGTCATCTGCTGTGATGGAAACTAAAGCTCAGGCGAATCACGATGTGTTAATATCACAACTGGCCTTCGTTTAGAACTGGGGATAAAAATAAACTGGTTCAGATATTTAAAATGTTTTCTAGTGAAATACTAACGACTCTAGTAATTTTATTTTGAAGAGCACTCCTGTTTCCGGTGTCAGCAGTTCGCCCTTCAGTCAAGAAGACGGAACCACAAAGAGGAGGAAACGGCCTGAAAAGTTCAGATGTGTTTCCGGGTCTCTGCGCTTTTGTTTCTGCGTGTCGGTGTGAGCAGCTTCACCTGGACAGGTGAGTGCAGCGGGACCACGGGGACCAGCAGGGCTCAGGTGTGACCGGCAGTGAGGGCCTCGGCAGACGAACCCACAGACAGGATCGTGTTCGTCTTCAGGTGTACACATCTGCGCATGCCCGAGTCTCCGTGAGGCCTCCACAGACACTCGCGTTCACAGTAAGTTGGGTGTGAGTGCGTGGGGCGCGTTATCAGAGATTTCAGTCATATCGGTTCACCTCGGTAAAGTTGGTGAAAGAACAGGAAGTAACCCCAAAGATTAAAAAAGAGAAGAAACGTTTCATTCACGGGCTCTTTGTGGACGTAAACACTGTGGACTAACAGCTGAGGTTGGGCGATTGGACGAACATGTCGACAATAGGCCGACCCTTTCACCGATCGCTTTTACAAGAGCGATTTATTTATTTATTTGCCCATGAGTAAGTTTGGTACTAATGTTGGTTGACCCTAAGAGAAGCAGTCAACGGAAAATAATAGTGCTGTTTTAACAGCTCCCTCCCAGAGTGCGCCCAAATGCAGCAGCGATTCAAACTCAGAACAGAAAGAAAGAACGGCAGCAGCCTGTGATCAGAAAAACACAAAAGCATTTTATTTAAACAAAAAACCACAATGTTGGGGAGGGAAACAGAGAGAAACTGGCTTCTTTTCCACTATAACTGTGTTTACAGACCGTTCCAGTGTTTCTGTCTGACACACTAGACCAAACAGCAAATACAAAATTAAACAAAAAGTTAAAAATCAAAATGAGTCTTCCAGTGAACATAAAAAAATCTCACACACGTCTTTTGTGCGATTCAGCGCATTTCAAATGAATTATCCAAAGAGTAGCTATGTTACTACTGAAACAAACAAGAAAAGAAATAAATATTAAAGATTAAATATTCCCTCCAGACAAAACTAAATGCGCAAATCAGTCCGTGCATGATCACATTCCTCCGCCCATAAAAAAGTCTGCGCCTGTGCGAATATATCGTTGGTTAATGGACCGACAGTTTTTATATGTCGCCCACCCTTAGTAACAACCAGGCTCAGTGTCTTTGAAGATTCTCATTCATCCAGGTCATCGTGGCCTAAGGAGCTTGGAAAGGGTCACATGGTGGAGAGTCCACCAGTCCAGGTCCCACTCATGTCTGTGGAGATGTTTACCTCATCAGCTCATTGATGTCACTCTAAAGGAAGAGAACACCTGTGAAACGCTGTGTGCACAGTGTGTGGATGTAATCATGTATACTGGTTACTGATGTGCCAGATGTTTATATAGATAACATCTGTTTGCTGAGTGCAGCTACAGCACACTAACTCCTCCCACTCTAATGCTGATGAGGTCTGTATCTGATCAGTCTGTTACCTGGATGCTAGGTGTCACTGGAAGGGTGGGGATGGTGTATGTGTTAATATTAATAATGGTGTATTTCCACTGTGGTATGAGTTGTGTACATACTGAAGAAACAGCAGTATTATTCAGTCACACATTATGTTACGGTGCATATTTACAGGTGCCATGTTTGTTAGTGCCATGTTTGTTAGTGCCATGTTTATAATCCTTTTATTGAGCTATATTTATCCAACATTAAGGTTCCTGTAACCCTGTGTTGTGCTGCTCTTAGAGTCCTGCTCTGTCTGCTCTCACCCATGTGTTGACTCAGTTTGGTTGTTATAATCAGAGGTCACTAGGAGATAGCGGTGCAATGAATCAAAAATGTCACGGTTCGGATTGGATCATGGTTTTAAGTCACGGATCGGATCAATGTTCGGATCAGCAAAAAAAGGAAAAAGACAAAAATGTAACATTTACTTCACTTATTAAAGTATTTTTTGCCTGTTAAAAACATTCAACTCTAGACTCATTCCACGCAATTATAAAAAAAATGATGGTACAATATGGGGCAGTACAGTCTTTGTATCTACCACTCAATTCAATTTTATTTATAAAGCGCCAAATCACAACAACAGTCGCCTCAAGGTGCTTTATAATGTAAGGTCGACCCTACAGTGATACACACCGCTCATTATATCGCACTCTGCTGTGATATAATGAGCGGTCACGGTCACGTAGCTTTCCGTTGCCCTGGAGCTCCACCCATTTGTAGCAGTTTGGGCAACAGAAAATGTCTGGGACAGTTCAGCCATGACTTAAATCTTTTCCTGCTCATACTTGCTTGGAACGATCTTGTAGGGGCGGGGTTTTGATAATCGATTCATCGATTAAAATCGATTCTGGCTTGGATAACGTGAAATCGATTCATTAAAATCCTGAATCGATTTTTTAATATAAATTTATTTTGCCCAAAACACCAGAATCTCTGGTGAAAGATCACAAAATTTCAACAACCACCAAACAGCTAAGACAGTAAATGAGAGCAGGAACACGGCTTCTGCACAAAGACGAGAACAGAAAGCCGGCACCCGCGGATCAGAATCAGTGAGATGTCGCCTTTCTCAGCTGACGGTCGAGGCTGAAAGCCGACAGCTCGCTGGTCCTGATGTGTCGGCGGGTCCACGCTTTGTGTTCACGCCCTTTATGCGCCGATTCTAAAGCTGTTAGTTTGATGTCTCTCCAAACATTATTGACTGAACCAGCAGCAAAAGAAGATCCAAACTAAGCTTCACATAAACATCGTCATGAATTCACTCTGACTTTTGCTGTTTTGCTTCCACCAGGATAAAATCTCACTTCATGCACAGCTCTCTCTCACTCACTCGTCTCCAGTTGTTTACAGGCTGTCGGCCGCTGTTTTTTTCCTTTTACTTACTTCCGAAAAGAAAACCTAATTTCTGCCGTTCAACACTGAACAAATTTAAACTTTTGCAAAACGCCGTGTCTCTAATAAAACTGCTGTAACGTCAGAGGTAACGTTCATATGTTGATTAATGGTTTTCTTTCATTTTTGATGCACTGCAGAATATTTTTATAAAATCCAGAACAGGAAAATCACCTTCATGTTTTTCTGTTTTATCTTCAGCTGCTTTGACACAAAGGCCTCTGCTGTGACGCTCACACCTGTGATAAAGTCTTGCGTGTGTCAGCTTCCTTTTTGATACAAAAATATGTAAATGTACTGATCTGAATTATAATATTTCTGACTGTCAAAATTTCCCAGATTCAAATTGAATCGAATCGAATCGATTCGGGACCTTGTGAATCGGAAACTAATCGATTCTAGAAATCAGTGACGATACCCAGCCCTACGATCTTGCCACTAAAGTGGACGCACAACGGGATATCATAGCGTGGCTCAAGCATGTTCATCATAGTTTAAACCGCTTGTTTTGCACACGGCCTCCCATCTGCAGTTAAACACCCCAACGCCTTTTGTAATAGCTTCAGCCCGGTTGGATCGGGCAGCAAAGGGCTGCTTAAATACCGCAAACGCCTCTGCTCCTCCACTTGGACCGCTAGCGCTGACCATAACTATCACTTGACAGACTGACCACGCCACCATACACATACTTTTTTTCTTCTTTTCCGTTGCACCACTACTAGGAGATGTACCCGTCACGATCAGCATCGTTCTGCCCTGCGTTAGCCAGTCTGGATGGGTATCCGCTGTTAGTTCCTCAGCCAGTAGGTGTGGATCATGTCAGGTCATATTTCTGTTGTATGTTTGTACTTTTATTTAAGCCTCTTTAATTATTATCTGTACTATGTGGTATAGCACAACAGGCAGACTTGCACAGAGTAATATGGTGATGTACTGTGATAGCACCACCACAGTCACCACACCTGTGCTGTCTCCTGCAGGTCTCTGACGTTCAGCCATGGATGATCATCTCTCCATCGTCCTCCTGGGAAAAGTTGGAGTTGGTAAAAGTTCTTCAGGAAACACCATCCTAGGACGAGCAGTGTTTGAGTCCAAACTGTCCCTCAGACCAGTGACCAAACTCATCTGTGTGGAAACGGGAACTGTGTTTGGGAAGCAGGTCTCGGTGATCGACACTCCAGAGATATTGGGATCAGAGCAGCAGGTCCAGACCTTCTGTCAGTGTGTCCTGCAGTCTGTCAGACCTGTTCTGTTCCTGCTGGTGATCAGAGTGGGTCGGTTCACCGAGGAGGACCACAGGGCCGTGGAAGCAGCGAGCAGAGCGGTCGGGCCTCACAGGCTGGAGAAATGTTACCTGCTGTTCACGGGTGGAGATGAACTCAAGACATCAGTGGACGATTATGTTTTACAGAACAGAACAAGTTCACTTCCAGATGTTGTAAAAAGGTTTTCACAGAGAACTCACCTGTTCAACAACAAAGATGGAGGACGGGAACAAGTGAGAGAGCTGGTGCTGAAGGCGGGACACCTCCCCACAGGTAAGAGCTGACCTCCATGAGACAGATGCTGCTGTGGGCACATCTGTGCTGAGTGTGGGCAAACAGCTGCTCACAGCTGGATTTGCACTCTGTCAGAGAGCTGATGGTGCCACACCAGGCATGTCAAAGTGAATTTACACTGAGGGCCACATACAGCACCCTCTGTAAGTTCAACTACTCATTTAATCAACATAACATTACAAAGAAACGCTGCTCTGGTGGTGGTGTGGGAGTCTGTATCAGAGAAGCTGTAAAATAATACAATCCTGTGGAAGTTGCTAAATGTTTGGCCTCCTTTACATTTTCAAAGATGTCCAGTGGGTCCGGTGGAGTCTTTGATGGGCCAGTTGTGGGCCCCGGGCCTATGTTGGACCTCCCTGTGCCGACCAAAGATCAGCTCAGTGCTGAGAGCAGCTGCAGCTCTTCATCACAGATAATGTCAGAGCTGCTGCTGAGGTCACATGACCAGTGTCAGTTTGTTCTCAGGCTGTGAGCTGCAGACAAACTACAGGAAACACTTCCACTCATGATGCTCTGATCTTCTCCTACAGGTGGAGCAGAACTCAGGATGGTGCTGGTGGGGAAAACAGGAGTTGGGAAGAGTGCATCAGGAAACACCATCTTAGGGAGGAGAGTCTTTAGATCTGCACGATCTGCTGCCTCAGTAACATCAGAGTGTGAGAAAGAAACAGGTCAGTTTGATGGTCAGACCCTGGCTGTGATTGATACTCCAGGTCTGTTTGACACCCATAGAAGTCAAAGGGAGGTGATGACAGAGATCGCTAAATGTGTCGCCTTGGCTGCTCCTGGTCCTCATGTGATCCTGGTTGTGATCCAGCCTGGCAGATTCACTAAAGAAGAAGAAGAAACACCGAGAATCATTCATCAGATGTTTGGAGAAGAAGTAGCAGGTTACACCATGGTCCTGTTCACCCGTGGAGACGACCTGGAGGCTGATGGAGTCACCATAGAGGACTATATCACACAGTGTCCAGCTCTCCGTGACTTCATCTGTCAGTGTGGTGGAAGATATCATGTTTTTAACAACAGAAGCAGAGATCCTGCTCAGGTCAGAGAGCTGCTGGAGAAGATCAACACCATGGTTCAGAGAAACGGAGGAAGCTACTACAGCACTGAGATGTTCAGACAGGCTGAGAGAGCCATCAGAGAAGAAGAGATGAGACTTCAGAGAGAACATCTTGAGATGTTAGAAGACAGGCTGAGAGAGAGGAGACGCCTTCTGATAGAAAATCTGACGCAGTGTGTTCTTCACTGATCTTCATCATTAATTATTATTAATCATCGTCATGAAGACAAAGAAGGAAAATGTTCATTTGACCTGATTAAAAGCTGACAGTCTGATTATTGATCATGTGATTATTATTATTAAACAGCTGTTTGATCCTGTGATCAGTCTGATTGGTGATGTTATTGATCAGCTCCTCTGATTGGATCCTGTTGATTATATATATCATTAGTGTTGATGTAAACTTCCTGTCAGCAGTTTAAACCATGTTTCATTCAACGTCACGTGACTGTGACGTCAGCGGTGAGCAGAGCGCCCCCTGTTGACCTGCACAGTTTCTGTGTTGACCTGCACAGTTTCTGTGTTGACCTGCACAGTTTCTGACCAATGGGATCACAAAGCTTCCGTGCGTCCTTCAGCAGAGGAGACACTGGAGCATCCTTTGTGAAGGGGAGGAGGAAACGCCGTCCCATAATTCATAGCGACGGAGCGTTCAAAGTAAAGAGCACCATCGTGTACACCTTCATCATAACTGTTTGCATTTCATCCAGAAGCTGCTGATGTACTCAGTTTGTATCAGCAGCCGCTACACTCACAGCTCAACCCGCTGCAATAAAACTTCTTCCTGTTGACTCTGAAGGTTATGTTCCAGATTAATGGTTGTGTGTGATTGTGCAGCAGCATCAGTGCGTTTAGTGCAGTAAACTGTGTCGACTGCAGTTCACGTGTTGTGTTTGTGAAGGTGAAACTAATAAAAGTGGTCCTGTGCTCAGGTTTGAGCCCCAGCCGGACTCTGAGCCTCTCTGTGAACAGACGTGGATTACTCGATTACTCTGCAGTGCACAGAAACATCCACTGACTGCTGTGAGGTCTGTGAGCGGCCTCTGCTTCCTGAAACATCACTGACCCAAACCCGCCCAGCTCCTTCAAAGTGAATCACATGGATGTTGTTCACGTTCATTACAGCACTAATAACATGAATCATCTCTTTATTCATACTTAGTGACGTGTGTCCATGCTTTTATTTAATGGTGTCGTGTTTCCAGAAGTGACATAGTGAAAGTAAAGCTCAGTCCTTCGTAACATCTGGCGAGGCATCATGCAATGTTCCCTCTAAGCTGTGCGCGTGCGCAGTTGCAGACTGCTGGCACGGTCTCTGTGCACAGAAAAAAAATCTCACCTGAATTGAAATTAAGGCTACGTCCACACGTACACGGGTATTTTTGAAAACGGAGATTTTCCGTTTTCGTTTTAAAAAATAATCCCGTCCACACATAAAGGCAGAAATGAAGGAAAACGCTGCTATGAACATGCCAAAGCAACAGGTGGCGATATATTCCTAACCGTGCAGAAATGTTGGCCAATCAGAAGTCTAGAAGCCTCGGTGGGAAAAAGTAAACAAAGCTGGGGCATAGAAGCAGAACCGAGCCGTATGTGTGGACGGACAGTAACTGTGTATATGTAAGCATTTAAACACTGCAGAGAGTAGAATTAACAGTAACAGTATTGTAGAAATTCATTTCACCGAAACAATAACGTGGCGCACAGTGTGACGTCAAAAAAGCCGCACACCTTTGACGTTTTCTCCGTTTTTCTCGTCCACACGTAAACGCAAAAACTGAGTTTTCAAAAATCTCCACCCTGGCCGGAGTTTTTAAAAATCTCCGTTTTCAGGGACCAAAAACGCCGTTTACGTGTGGACGAAAGGTGCAAACGCATAGAAAAATCTGCGTTTTCAAAAATACCCGGGTACGTGTGGACGTAGCCTAAAATTAATACGTTAACGATCCTGTTCTGCAGTGTTAGTCAGTGACTGGCTGCTCCCATATGGGATCAGAACGATGCCACCTTATCCCACAGTCCAGCCAATGATGCGATTCACATTCATATATACGCAGCTAATCAACGTCGCTGACAGGCTGTGACAGCGTCCTTATGTGCCGACACCGGTGTTTTAGCAAAGCGGCTGATGTGGAGTGAAGCCATGTTAATGACAACGTGTACAACCATTGGAGATGTGAGTAGGACAGACGGAACAACTGACGGACAAAGTGTGGACTTTATACCAGTTTTTAAATTGTTGATCGGCCGCGTAAAACCAGAGTTATGATAAAAATATCTGCAATGTTTGTTTCTTCCTGAATACTGTCGTTGTTTATATTTACTGCAGGAAGAAACGGTAAAAACTGCATTTTATAAGGAAAACACTCGAAAGTCTGTGAGCAAAGACAAAACACCCCCATCCTTTCCTATTGCTTGTTTGCTTGATGCTTGTTTCCTGCGAGGGTCTGTGTGGGTCTGTGTGCCGCGCTGGAATGGTAGCGCTGTGCAGGGCGGCTGCTGTGTTCGCTTCGGATTACTCCTCACCCCCCACCCACCCCTGTGGCTTGTCATGTCTTCACAATGTTGTGCTGTGGACATTTATGTGCTTTTTGTGCAAAGGAGTTTTTTTGTTTCTTGTTCTCATGCTGTCCTACTATGGAAGCATAGCATGAGTAGGGGTCTCTTCTTTTCCTCTTGTACTTTCCCCACTGTAGTGTACATTTCAATGTTTTTTTCTCTAATGCTACCAATCTCCGACCTGTATCCCCATGTAATGTTTGTGCTATATGTATAAGGTCGGGGGTCCCATTTCACTGCAGGGCAACCTGCATGTGACGAATAAAGCTTTGATTGATTGATTGATTGATATTGGTCAACAAAAGTACCATGTCGACCAATCCAAAAATGATATGGCAACATCTCCAAAAGTTGGTTCTGTTCATCTGGACGCAGCGTTTTGTGGGAGAAACGTTTCGTCATCATCAGGTGACGTCTTCAGTCTCAGCTGACTGCAGGTTTCAATCTTATAAACAGGACATTTGCATAATGACTGAAACCAGCCCACTGAAGGAACAA